TTTGAAAGCTCTGAATGGCTAAAGCACATGCGAGGACGACACGTGCATGAGGCCAAGTTCGACCAATGTATGGTTGGCTTAGTAGAACGGGCAAGTGGTTTACCTGTCAAGAAGCCCACAAGACTGATAAGCTCCAGCGAGCTGATCGTGTGTCGCTTTCGCAGCAAGCGTTGTCAAGGGCATATCCGTCACGCGAACATTTCTTCTGTCGGACATTCCGATCGTGATCGTCCGATTGCAAAGAGCCGGGATATGCAAGTGTGGCCTGCTGCCATGTGTGATCTTCTTGCCCGAGGGATAGTAGAATGCCTCACTTGTGGGATCGATGCTTTCAATGCCAATGTGTATGCGGCCGACGCAAAGAGCAAATGTCCAGGTTGTCGTTGGCATAAGCGAATGGACCATCCTTCCCATGACAGGTCCGAGCACTGCAAGTTTCCAGACGTTACTCCTTCAACATGGTCGTGTCCAGGGTGCATTAAGAATAGGCCAAGGAGTGATGCAACCCACTCCTTAAGCGAAAACTGCCAATGGAATGTGGCACGCACCATGCCTGAAGGGTTGGGGCGAGAACGCAAGGGAGGACACCCTCGGGACGTTAGAGTCCCAGCAGCGGCCGAGCCGACGTCTGCTCTGGGTGAACCTTCTCTGAGATCAGTTGGCAGCCGTGAAGTCCACGCCGAAGATGCTGAAGCGTTGCGTAGAAGGCGTGCAAGGGCGAGTTCGGCAACACCTGTTGTGCATCGGAGAGACGCTGCAGCGCAAGTCTCAGAAGGTGGTGTAGGTGTCGCAGCAGGTCCCGATGAACCTATGAGACCCGCAACTGCCGCGCCGCGCGAGGCAAGACCTGTTGAAGCAGCAGGTGCAGAGGAAGACGATGCCGAACGTTGGACTGCGTTCGATCTTGGCCGTGCCTTAATTGACCTCAGATCCCTGCGTGAAGGGGTTGTGCGTCGAGCATTGCGTAAGTTGCACGTCAGATGGTTCCATGCATCGGCGCAGAAAATGAAAACCCTTCTAACGGCGGCGGGTGTACCGCAAGACATCATGGTTTTGGTGCAACAAATTGTTGACACTTGTGACATATGCCGCAATTGGTCGAGACCCGGGCCGCGAGCAGTAACTAGCTCGACGGTCACGACGCGTTTCAATCAAGAGGTACAAACAGACCTTCTGTTTTACAAAGATAAAGTCGTGCTACACATGATCGATCGCACTACGCGTTTTACTGTAGCCCGTAAGGTAGAGTCTAAACATCTTGATTGCATAATTGAAGGTATCATGAGCCACTGGGTCGCCCTTTTTGGGCCGCCCAATCAGCTTACGTCCGACCAAGAAGGGGCTTTGTCATCTCCTGAAGCGGCGGCATTACTCGAAGCTAGGGGCATCAAGCTCCACCTCTTGGCCAAAGAACAGCACGCAACCACAGTTGAGCGTCACCACGCAATATTGAGGCGACAGCTTCATGTTCTTGACGAACAGGCGACGGCTGAGGGATTGCGTGTTTCTTTTGAGTCCTTATTAGGAGAAGCGGTTTTTGCCAAAAACGCTTTGTTTTCCGTGGGTGGTGCCTCACCTTTCGAAGCCGTTTTCGGGAGAACACCACCTTTGTTGGGGGTAGTAAACGCTGAATCCGGTGATTCCCCTGACGATCGAGATTGCGATCGGGTCCGTCAGTTGGCCATAAATACTATTGTTCAGGCCACGGCGGAGAATAAACTGCGTCGCGCGGACCGAGGCAAATCTCGGATGCCGGGCGAGCTTCTTGATCTGAAGGTGGGGGATGCAGTAGAGTTTTTCCGTAGAGCCACTACTAAAGACGCTCACTCCTGGTTCGGCCCTGCAACGGTGACCGATTTGACGTCAATCCTTGACGGGCAGATCGGTATTAAGTGGCAAGGCAGGTTGATGATTTGCCGTACCCAGGATGTCAGGCGGGCTCTTCTTTTCTGGTGCTTTCTGTCAAAACTTCCATCGCACTCACCTGTTGCATATCTGTGCGAAGCTGCCGAGGATCTTCGCGGAGACGTAGTACGGTTGGGTTGGTTTAAGTCTAAGGATTCGTGGATAGCGTGTGAAGCTAATCAGCGTTTCCCTAGGGTTTTACTGGCCGGTCTCCACGTGGGTTCTTGCGCGCTGAATCTCACTGGCGTAGTATCTTTCAGGCTGGGTTCAGCAGCAACATCGCTTGCAGCTGTGGCTTGCGATGATTCCTTCTTGCTCTGGTGGCGTCCAGGAAATGTGTCAGTGTGGTTTCATGCATATCTGCCGGGCAATCAGCACTTAAACATGCAAAGGATCACAGGCCTCTCTGATGCAGCATTTGTCCAGTACTTCTGCGCAGACTCAGAAACTGTTGCTTCGTTGCGCCAAGTCGTGCATGACATTCCAAATGTGGGGGGCCCTTTTGATCCGGCGCTGCCCAGGTTGCAGGACGTCACTGAACAGGTGCATGTCAGGCAACGTCAGCGCCAACTGACGATAGAAGATGCCCCACCATTTCAGCCTCAAAGAAACACTGAACATTTTGACATACACACGCCTCCAGTCAGTGAAGATCAGGATGCGGTTGAGCAGGCGGACAGCGTGGAGAGCATGTTTGCTCGATACGTTTGTCACCCTCCAGTGGTTTTGAGCGATGAAGCTTACGAAGATGCCTTCGTTCTTGATCCTGCCGAACTAGAAGAATCAAAGCCTGAAATTGCTTTTACTGACATAAGTAGTAGATACTTGGTGGGTCTTAAGACTAAGGTTGAAAAAGGGGAGCTGTTAATCTTTAACAGTGGCACAGAAGACTGCGTAATCGAAAGAACCCACAACATTCTATCCCGCCAGGAAGCGCTGGCAAATGCAGATGAGTGCCGAGCCTCTATGCTGAAGGAGCTTGCGCGTTGGCACAGTCACAAGGCCTGGGTTCGCACTCCGCGTTCCCAGTGCACAAATATCTTGTCCAGTCGTTGGGTTCTTAAATGGAAACAGATTCAGGGCACTAAACAAATTAAGTCTAGGATGGTTGTTCAAGGGTTCAAGGATACTCAATCCGTCAGCAGTTATGCGGCCACAACCACTCGTTGGGGCCAACGCATTGTCATCGCCGTGGCCGTGCAGATGTCATGAAGCATCTATTCGGCGGATGTGTCAGAAGCTTTTCTTCGGGGTTTAAGCTTTAAAGAGCTTTATGATTCGGGCGAGGATGCTGTTTTGAGACAGGTGCAACTGGATTTGCCACCAGGGACTCTTGAACTTCTACGCACCCTTCCTGGGATGTCTGACTTCGATCCTCAGGTTGAGTGCTTGGACATGTGTAAGCCGGGATTTGGTCTTCGTGATGCCCCCAGACTCTGGGGAAAAGCGCTGCGCAGAGTGCTGACTGAGATAGGGCTGCAGTCGGTCAGAGCCGACGAGCAGCTGTTCGTAAAACATGATGAGAAAAACGCATTGGTTTTGATTTTAAGTGTTCACGTAGATGATCTCAAGATCAGTGGGTTGGATGCGCAAGTGCAGCGTGCGCTCAAGATACTGGAGCATCACTTTGATCAGTTAAAATTGGAAAAGGATAATTTTGAGCATTTGGGCCTTAGGCATTCTCTTGAAGCCGATGGTTCACGTCGGCTTTCCCAACAACATTACGTCGCAGAACTAAAGCCGATTGCCGATCAGGATTTAAAACTTCAAGACCCGCAGTCTATCGTTTCCGAAGAGATCCATAATAAGTTTCGTTCGCTTCTTGGCGGAGTTTCTTGGGTCGTGCAGACCAGACCAGATATAGCGGTTTTTGTATCTGCCCTTCAGAGAAAAATGAAGTCACCTAGGGTTTTGGATGTTTTAAACCTTAATCGAGTCTTGAAGTACATCAAAGTGCGTCCCCTGGACATGGTGTACAAGAAGCTAGAAGGACCTTGGGCCATAGTAGCCGTCGCAGATTCGAGCTTCAAGGGTGAAGATCAAGAACACACAGCCGTACGAAGCGGCATTATTGCACTTGTGAGCCGCAACGGTCCTGAGACCGGCATTAATCAGATGCAGGTTTTAGAATGTGTGTCTAAGAAACAATCGAAAGTCTGCAGATCAACGTATGCTGCAGAACTACATTCAGCCCTTGATCTTATGGGTCTGGCATCAATCATAAATTCGGCTATGACAGAGATCTTAACGGGTGTGAAATCTGCTTCGGAACTGGTGCAGCTCCAGGACACAGGCAGAAACGCACTGAAGCTATATCTCATGTTGGATGCCAAATCAGTAGTGAGCGGTGCGATTGGCGAAGAGCCCAAGTGTACAGATCAATCTGTATTTCTGCATCTCTTGAAGTTGCGAGAGTTTCTGGGGTCCGTCATTCATGCCATTGGATGGTGTGACACACGCGACATGGTCGCCGATGGACTGAACAAGGGAGTCATCAGAAGAGACGCTTTGCGCGATCTAGCACAAACAGGGGAATGGAGAATCGTCCACCCTCTCGAAATTCACATTTCTCGGCCTCGTACAGTGTGAGGTGTGAAAGGCCTTTGAAAGACGGCAGAGCAGCAACTAGAAGATCTAAGCATAGACAACCCGAGTTAAGAAGTAAATGCGCCTGCAGGTGCTGTCCGACTACGTGTTGCTTTTGTTGAGTCTTGGTTTTGCCGTTGTTGCCTTTCGAGCCTCGAGGCAGAGATTGCATATTAATTGGGTTTCGAAGAAGACCTTCCCAGCCTAAGCTAGGCTGTACTTGTGTGCATACTCGTACTGTGCACGACAGATAAAGACTCTTGCAACATGAGCCATTCCAGGGCAAAAGGGCGCGATGCCATGCGAAGTCGTGTGATTCTCCATGCAGATCCTTCCGACGATCATGATTTCGACTAGAATGTCACGGCGTGGAGTGCCTGACTTCAGAGACGTCACACTCTCCAGCTTGGCTACCTGAGGTAGGCTCCGAGCAGCGTTGTGCAGAAGATATCTCTGCCCATATTTTTTTTATGCAGCAGGTTTGCAAAGATCCCAAAAAGAGCTCGCAGGAGTCCCTGACACGGCGACTGGCCGAGCTCATCCCAGCTCCTTGGCAACAGCTCTCCAAAAGAGGGAACATTTCGGAAGGCTTTCTGAGAAGAGTTTCTGGCCCACCTAAGGACGGCCTGGCGCTGCCGGAGGCCATGTGGAATGGCACGCAGAGCCCCTCTGCCAGCACTGTGATGGCATCGCAATACGAAAGAGCTTTCAAGTTTCATGCCGTTGCTGTGGAGAGCGACGCTCAAGTCAGAAGTGTCTGCCACAAAGATGAGCTTCTAAGACAGAGAACCTGACGAATCTTGCGTGATTTTGTGTGCTTCCCTGAGCTGCGAGGCTTCTATCGCCCTTCTGAGCGTGCCCTCCTGGCCGCCGCCGCCCTTTCCTCTTTGCAAGCGAACCTCGATGGCGGCGAGGCTGCGCCTTGCGTGAGTTGTGTCGTAGATGTTGAAAGTTGCATACATGACGTGTTCCGCTCGTGGATGGGTGCTGTAACCGCTTTTTTCGGTAGACTTAAGACAATCGCTTGACCAATGAGGTGACCTGAACGTGTAGGAGCTGACGTAGATAAGGTACGTATGGCGGGTCTCACCTGGCAGCTCTCACTTGAAGCAAGGCAACAATCCCAGGCCTATCAGGCCTCTCCGCAGAGTTTTTGGCCCGTTTTCCGAGGCAGAGACGCAAAAAATCTCACCAGAGCGAACATCAACCTTTGTCACCTCTAGGCATTCTTGCGTGTCGCAGGTCCGATCATCATGGTTCCTTTGCAGCTTTGGTTCTCCCAACACGGCTAGGCAAGCCCCAGCCCCGCGACTGCTAGCCCTAAGCCGCGAACCCGTCCACTCCTAAACTCCAATGATGGACCTGCTTTGGTTTTCCTTGAGGATCAACACGTAGATTGTACACTGCACATGATGAGCCATTGTGCCAGCCAAAGCTTGCGCCTCGCGTTCGCAAGCTTTTTGTTTTTTTTTAGAACATGGGGAGGCATGCGGGGACGATGGGAGCTCGTCACTCGGATCGTTCATCTGCCACGGAGGATCGGGGTGGTCAGGTGGCCCTTGGGGATGTTGAAGCGTTACATGCGTGTGCGTTCGGGAAAGAGGCTCCGAGAAGGCTCTCCTGCCAAACCTGCTGCCTAACTTCTTTGGAATCTGGTTTTGCACAGAGTTGAGAAAGGAGGCCGCTGACTTGCCGGTTTTTCAGATGGCAGTAGAGCGGCAGAAGCCCTTCACATGTACCAGCTGAGTGCGAAATCATCAGTATTTCGCACTCAGCTCATCCTATCTTTGAATGCTTCTTTTTGCCTTTGATGTTTTGCAGGGCTTCGGCTTCGGCAGCCTGGCGGGCGCGGAGCTGCCGGCATCGGAGCGTCCTGCGAGCCCCTGGTCTTTGTTTCATTTGGGTCTTCTGGGTCTTGGAGTCGGATGAGTCGGAGGGGCAGTGTGAGGGGGCAGGGCAGTGTGTCGAACTCGCGCCACTGCAGGCCTAGACCCTCTCTTCGGACCCTTGGGGAGATCCCCAGTCGCTCGAGAGCGGGGCTTGGATGCTTCGCAGTACCTCCGCCGGGGGCCCGAATGAAGAGCTGTGTAACGGCTTTGTGCAGCCTGCCTCGATCATGCATGCCATGCCCTGTTACCTTGTTCCACGAAGTTCCACAGTACCTCGCGAGAGAGAAGCTGCCTCCCTTACTCCGAGGCCTAGCCATCTCTGGAGCTGTTTGCAGTGCCGTCGTCCGTGCTGTTCTGCAGCCACTGGAGGCCGGCCTCGAAATCTCCTGCAGTGTTGCTGGGTCTCCAGAGTGTCACGACCAGGTCGTGAAAATAACACAACAGCCACCGACTCAGCAGACTCCCATGAAAGTACGAGCGCAGAATTCGGCAGACATTGGCAGAGTTCGGCAGAGCCTTTTTGGCCTGAGGCTCGCAACGCCTGCCGCTGCAGGTAGGAAAGAAGCAGGTGCGGACTCGTGAAAGAGTGTTGGCTTGAGCAATTATGAGCCATGACCATCCGTCCAGTCGATGTGGATGACTTCCAAAGCACGGCGAAGAACCTGCTGGAAGTGGGGGGCCGCCACCCCAGAGTGGACTTTCGTGACTGAAGCTCTTCCATGCGAGCTTAGTGGGCTTAGTGTGTTTCAGCTCGACATTAGGTCTTGGAGCTCTGTACAAAGGGACGGATGCCACAGTCCTCGCAACCGGCGTTATGGGCTTTACAAGCTTTGGGTTAAACGAACTGTTCAGGCGCGTAGACGCCCACTAAGCCATCGTCCGAGCCATGCATCGCTCCTGAACGCTGCCCATGGGAGGCGTTCGTTGGAAACGTTGAGTGGCGACACAACCGGTCAACCTGGCGCACTGCTTGTGCTGGGAGCATCGATTGCGGCTGTGTTTGTTTCAGATCCTCGGCTCCGTGTGAGTGTGTGTACAGGTGGTTGAAGAAGCATGGACAGCAAGAGTGCTGCACAGAGCCTGTTGCCGTGTGGCCACTGCAGGGCATCATCGCTGCGCCCTTTGCAACTCTGCTGCACTGTGCTCTCGATGTTTCAGTGGTTTTAGTGGTTTCATGTCTGTAGAGGCCCTATAGCGGCAGCGGCCGTTGATGTGCAACACTTGTACAACTATCGCTCACGAGGAAACTTTGCGTGTGCGAGTGATGGCCCCGGCAGAGAGCCGCTCATGGGGAGACCCGGCTGAAGCCATCGGTCGGTTGAAGGGCAGAAGAATGCAACAGAGACCGAAGAGAGAAGCGACCGCAGCAAGTGCAGTGGCGTCGTGGTGTAGCGCTTTCAGGAGAGTTGGCCGCCGAAGCCGCCGCATTGCCCAGATTAGAGATGAGTTGAGGTAGACCCTAGACCCTAGACCCTTTAGCGCGACGTCGCAGTTTACATCATTCTTAGCTGGTTGCCCGCTTGTGTGCTTGAGGTGAGCAAAGGCTTCTCTGAGCTTTGGGCGGGCCTTGGGCCGTTTTGGGCAAGGGAGATTCCCTTCTCCGCATGTGGCTCGGCAGGAAGTGCCAGGAAGTGATAAAGACTCGGAAATGGCCTAGCTCGCAAGGCAAGTTTCTCGTCTTTGACCTGGCGTCTCGTGCCCGCCTTGGGTCGGGTCGCCGTGCGTCTTTTCTGATGTCGCAGGGGTGTGCCAGGGGTGTGCCAGGGGTGTGCCAGTGTCCCGCATTGTGAGGTGCCCTCTTTAGCTTGTTCCCAGCAGCCGCCGACGCGGCGAGCCTGGAGGTGTCGGCTGTGGCCGGGGCCATCGCCGGGCTGGCCTCGGCCGTGGTCTCCAATCCTGCTGATGTACCTTAGCCAAGCATCGCGTGGGTGTTGTTCCCCATGTTGCCCTACAAAGTATTGCATGTATTTCTCACAAGGGCGCGATATATAGCTCCATAGCATCGCATGTTGTGCGCCTTCTTGACACTTTGCTCTTTGCTCCTCGTTACTGAGCACGGCTCTAAAGGTGATCATTACGCAGACTGCAAGTGGAGATGGAGGCGCAGCATGGCTGTGTGGAAGTTCAGTATGACCTAGTCTGACATGGTATGACTCAGTATGATCTCGTGGTTCAGGTGCGGGGCCGACCAAACCCGCAAACTTGTGGAAGGGCCTCGGCGCTCGCAGTGTCTACTTTGCAGCAGCCTCTCAGCTCACATCATCTTCGCGTTGGGGAGTTGTCCCGGTCTTCGTCTCATGGGCAGCGCGCTGGTTAGGCTATCTGTGCACAGTTTCTCTTGTACGACTCCGTCAAGGACGGGCTGTTGCATGCAGGCCGTAGATGCCCGAAAATATGTATTGAGGTATTTCAAGATCACTTTGAACATGTATCATAGATCTGAATATAAATATACGCATAGGTAAATGTTAATCATGACTACATAAAGACATGAACAGGTTTCCCCGTTTTGACGGTGTGTAGTTGCCAGGGCTGTGCGGGTGAATGGATAAACATATGGCTTTTACCCGGAAGGCGGTGTTTTCGTATTTTGGCCACGCAGGAGTTGTTGGGCGTGGGCTCTGGGGACCTGCAGCTGGTTCTCGATGTTTTCGGGATCTCACGAACTGCCGAGAGCTTGCTGGGCTGAAAAAGGGCTGACACATGGGAAGATGCCTGAAGATGCCTGAGCCAAGATGCAGATGATGCGATGTTCTAGAACTCGCTGGTTGCAGGCGCTTCGAATGGGAGATCGTGTGGGCGTCCTCTTCAGGTGCACACTGGTGCATCGGGTGATTAGGAGCAGAGGCGGCCTTGAACGTGCAGTCACAGCAACGTTATGGCTTCATGCCGTAACGCAACATAACAGTAGTTGGGACCTCACTTGCAGCCTTGGCTCAGGCCAAGGGCCTTTGCAAGAGGACGTGAGAAGGCGATTCTGATGCCGCAAATAGCTGTAAGTAGCTGTAAGATGCTCGAACCTCAGCTGATGTACCCCAGCGCACCTTGCAGCAACGCCAAGCTGCCAAGCCACCTTGAAGCGTCGTTGCCCTGCCACATCATGCGGCGCCATGGGCATGGCTCTGCAGAGGCTCCCCCTGCTGAGAGCACTCGACAGTCGAAGAAAAACGAGAGATGGAGAACATCCGGAACGGAAAGAGAGACGCGGAGAACCCTCATCTTTCTCCCTCTCTCTCTCCGGCTTTCTCTCTCTTTCTCGTTGTCTTCTTTTCTGTTGAAGAGGCGGACTCTGAGAGCCCTGGTGGCCCTGGGCACTCTGCCCTGGTGCCGCGGAGATTGCCTGGCCGGATTGCTCAGAGAGCTTCGAATCTAGCTCTTCGCTAGACAGTGATCTGCGGCCCTTCTGCACTTTGTTTCAACATACCAGTTGCTCTCTCTCTCTCTCTCTCTCTCTCTCTCGCTCTGTGTATGCTCTTCCACTCAGGCACCTGTGGTTGATGGACAGCATGCAGACGGATCGTGCGTCAGGTGCTGAGCGCTGCTGCGCTGTCTGTTCTGCCGTGTCTGGCCGGGTCTCCAGTTCGGTTGTCTCAGGTCGAAGGCGTAGTGATCCCGGCATTCGGCCGCAAACCTTGGCGTGTTGGCATGGGGTAGCCTGTAGCGTGGCGGCGTGGCGGTGCAGCATCGCAGCGAGCCGTTCTGAGGCACCTGCGAACCGCGATGTGCGCAGGGCTACATCCTTGAAGGCTAGGGCTAGGACGGAGAGGACTTGCTGTTTGATTCTTCTTTGTTTGTGCGTATTGCTGAAACACGAGTCTTCCGTGATCCTGTACTTTGTGGCAGTTGCAAGCAACAACGGGCTCCTTTTGTGCTTGAGCGGCCAGCCGGCAAGCCCAGCACGAAAGCAGCAGAAAGGGTGTCAATGTGGGAAGCAATCAATGACCTCAGACTTGTCGGGGTGCCGAAGGGGGCAGCTCTTCTCTCTTGGGGAAAGGGGGTGTAGTTATAGTGTAGTTGTAGTGTTGTTATACTGAGTTATACTGTAGTTATACTGTAGTTATACTGTAGTTATGCGGTAGTTATACTGTACTTCTACTGTAGAGTTATATTGGAAGTTATGCTGGTAGTTATACCGTGTGGTAGTTGCTGAGGCTCGTGCCATCGACGTTTCGGTGTATCGGTCTGAACTGCTCAGCCCCGGTGGGCGTTCAGAACGCGGCGCTGCGGACTTAGCAGACTTAACTTAGGGCTCCTTAAGAGTCACGATTTGTGTGTTGCGCCTGTTTGCCTTTTCTTGAGAGCCGTCTTGAAGATGCCTCACCAATGACTCAGGGAGGAGGAGAACCTTTCAAACTGCGAGGAAGGGGGTAGTGTTGTGGCGATGTGCTCGGCTTCTGCCCTTCGTCCATTTGCGTTGAGAGATCCTTGCGAGCAGAGGTTCATGGATCGCACTGCACGCCGAGGTTCAGTTTTTGGACCACTGACGTAGCAACTTACAACATTGGCATATTTGAACCTGTGTCTTGTGTCAAATTCTGGGACCTCCTGGTGAGGTGCAGAAATGGCTATGCCCCAGATCTGAATGAAGCACTGAACTCAGTGCCTTTCCGAAGATCCGCAAAGTGCTTTCCAAGACGCCCGGATTGACTCGGAATTTGGTTGAATTGATGCTGCAGAGTAGCCTGGCTTGTCCGAAGAGCTCCTGTAAAAATCGATATTGCAATACATGTAAAAGAATATACATTTACATGTATACATGTATACACATACATATACATACATATACATATACATATGCATATACATCTACATCTACATATACATATACATATACATATACATATACATGTTATATATTTATATACATATACTTATATGTGCATATGTATATATGTATATATGTATATATGTATATAATATGTATGTATATATGTATATGTGTATATATGTATATATGTATATATGTATTTAGTATATATGTGTATATGTATGTGTATGTGTATGTGTATGTGTATGTGTATGTGTATGTGTATGTGTATGTGTGTAGATGTGTATGTGTGTCTGTATGTGTGTGTGTGTGTATGTTTGTTTGTTTGTTTGTTTGTTTGTTTGTTTGTTTGTTTGTTTGTATGTATGTATGTATGTATGTATGTATGTATGTATGTATGTATGTATGTATGTATGTATGTATGTATGTATGTATGTATGTATGTATAGAGGCATGTGCCTTGTGCTCTACGCTGCATAGACTTGCTCTTCCCTCTACTTGCCCCATCTTGCGCCGAGTTGCCTTGGGATCCTGTGCTGCGGAAGAGCATCTTGCCCTGTCTGGCGGGGGTCCTTTCGCCTTCGTCCGTGCCTTGGGCCTGATGGCCGCTGATCGATTCCCAGTCCTCCTGGTTCTGGCCAGTGTTGTGACTCGTTGTGAGTAGCTTTTGTTATGTTTGGCGTTCTTGCACTGCCGTGCTGAGGACCTTTACCTGCCTGGGAATGCCCTGCCAGGTTGGTCCGCACTTGCATGATGACGCATAGAGGCGCACGCACGAGTGCGAAGGCGCTGATTGTGACAGGTGCCACGCACCGGACAGGGAGAGGGGCAAATCGTGAATGCCCACGCGCTCCGGCCGTGGCGATGGCATGCTTTTAGCTCGGCTGCTCTTGGGAGCCGACAATCTCGGACTGATGAGCGTCTGTTTCTCATACTGTACTGTGCCAGGTGTTCCTTGGACCTGTCCGAGATCCCGCATCTGGGTTTCTGTGACCCCCAGTGTGCGTCGGGCGCCCTGAGATGCTGAAATGCTCTTCTCTTTGAATTGCGTTTGTGCGTGGTTCTGCGTGACTCAAGGGAAGGCTGGCATCCGAACGCGGTTGGCCCCAGTCGTTCCAAAGAGCCGCTGCTCCGAGTCTGATCTCCCTTCAAGCTTCGCCAGAGACACTCAGGTGTCTCTGATACAGTGCGTGGCTTCAAACTTGACTTCCTTGTTTGAGTGCCTGGGCAACACCTGTGCCGACCTTACGGAAGTCTTTGCACATGAGCCCTGGCAGTTGGCAGCGCTCCTTTCTCTTGTTCCTTGACCTTGGGAAGAATCGGACGGCTGACCGTGTGACCGGGATACTCAGAAGGTACTCGTTACTGGTGACTCCCCTTTACAGTACCTTTGAGAATCAAACGCAGTCCAAACCGGAGTGTATAAACGGCAAGGGATTCAAGTAAGCCAATAGGCCCCCAAGAAGCCTTCAAGCCTTCGTCTGTCAACAGCAGAAAACCCAGGTCCCGCGCCCAAATTGGCATGGGGCCCAGTCATGGTCGCGCGGTCCAGGAACGGGTCATTGGAAATGTGTTTGAACCCGCCAGGGGGCCAGGGCGGTACGATTCAGGGAATGTAGGGGCGACTCAGACCGCGGAAAGGGGAAAGGTCGATTCAAACAAGTCAGGCCAACAATGCCTTTCAAGACTTCCGAACACTCAAGACTATCTCAAGACTTACGACTTCACATTGTTGTTAGACCCCCCTCCTCCGCCTCTCGCCATGAGAACGGGCTGAAGAAATCATAACTGCTAAACTCACAAGATCTGTGGTCGCAAAATCTGTGGACGGATTGCATTGGGCAGGCCTGGCTTGTGGGCGACCCAAATCATGACCCTGACTTCCGTCACCCTTTCCGCCCTGCCCGAGATCCAGTATGCCGAAGCGGTGACCTGCCAAGAGGGTTCGGAAGCTGCGCACGAAGGCAATGGGTCCTTTAGGGAGTTTGTCTTATGCTCACAAAGTGTAGCAGGAATCTGCACCACCAACTGCAAGTCTGGGTACCGAAGGGCCCTCAGAGCCACGACATGCTCATGCTTTGTGGGGCTGAATCCCTTCCCCCAAATGCCAGAGAGCAGCGCCTAGGCCCAAGTGTCGAATACCTGCGAGTGCCTCAGAAAAGGGCAACAGCCCGGAAACGCACCCGGGCCATGCTTGGTAATCTGCAGCACGAAGGACTTGCAGAAACGGGGTACTGACTCCCTTCAGATATGAGTGCCGCACCCCCAGAAGTTGCCCAGGACCATGCCCCAACTGTCAGCGCAATGGAGTCTGTCAAGGTTTCCCGAAAAATTGTACCGCCCACTTCGAGCTCCCATGGTGGAAACCCCAGATGTTATGTTCAAATATGTTTCAATATGTGCATCCGGCCCTCAACTCTTGGGGGTACGCAAGCCAGGTCTTTGCCACCGCTGCCAGGGTACAACCGGTCGATAGGCCCCGCTTTGCCTGCTCCCTCTCTCTCCCTCTCTCTCTCTCTCTGTGCCTGTGTTCTGCCGTCCTTCGGAGGCCTCGACAGCACGCTCGTCGAGTGGGTGCCACCAGAGCCAAGGAGATGCCTTGTCAGTATGTTAGTTTCATTCTCATCCGGGGTCCTCCTGCGAGCACCTCCGAATATTCTCAGAAGAGGAAAAGGAGATCAGGATTGAAGACGGGCGAGCGCGCTTCAATTCGAAACACGTCTCTGCACACAATGGATGCACACAGAAGGCCCACGAACTGACGCAACCAGGAAGTTCAGGCAAGCGTCACTGCTACCAATGCTGGCCGTTATTCTGATGTGATTCAGCTACCTTCCGTGTCTTCAAGCGCAGTTCACCGTGAAGGAGCAAGCAAAGTCATCCTATCAAATTCTTCAACTTCGTGCGATGCGAACTTGCTTGCTGCATGATCTCTGCCAGGCTAGTGTATTGTCACCTGCATGCATTGCCGCGTTTGTGCGCCGTGACGCACGTGGTGCACAGCTATGAAGGACCTGCGCAGAAGGGCCCAGCATGTTCCACCG